TCTGTGGGCTGCCTCGAGGCTGATGGCTTCTACCTCTCCTCCTGCATGTCCTGCTTCCTCTGCCGATGGCAACTCTCCCTTTCTTCCTCCCAGAGCTCTCTCTGTCTGGAAGTCCTGCCTGTGCCTCCTGCCTAGCTATTGGCTGTTTAGCTTTTTGTTAAACCAATCACAGTGTAATTGAATATTCAACAACACCCTTAGGTCCTTGACCCATCCAAGAAGCATTTCACTTAGTGGTGGTCCTTTAGGTGTCCACCTTTGCACAGCTGTGTTTAATAAGAATCACTGAATGACCAAAACAAGCAGAGGAGAGATGGAGGCACAGAGAACTTAAAGCACATTGCACATGTGCATACCCATCAATTAGTCATTAAGGGAAAAGGCACAGCATGTCTTCATATTGTGAAGATGGAAGCAGTGAGTTCCTACTAGTTCCTACAAGCTTTGAGGTATTTGTCATTTAAGCTGAAAGTCATAGCTAAGTTCATTATTTTATACCACTTTCTCTTATGTATAGGCCAGCACCAGGTAGTTTATGGTCTCCAAGTTATATAAAGTGGGAATCGAATCCGTAAGGTGAGACTCTACATGCTAACTGATAAAAGTCAAGTATCAAATCTAGGACACTAGATAGAAGGCTTCCTGAGGGCAAAGAGCTATCCCCATCTGACCCAGTTCAATTAGCTCAGTCTTCTGCACATTGTTTACAGAACAAGTCAGTAGATGGATTTTTAGAACTTCGAGTGTTGTTCAATAGAGCAAGTTCATTAAGAAACCATCTTGAAGATGAATAAATTCCTTCCAAATATCTCTGTAGCCCTATACCTACTTATCTGTTGTCCCCCTTGTGTGTGTGTGTATATATATAATTTACTTTTATTTCATTTGCATTGGTATTTTGCCTGCATGTGTATCTGTGTGAAGGTGTCAGATCTTGGAGTTAGACACAGTTGTTAGCCACCATGTGGGTGTTGGGAATTGAACCCAAATCCTGGGAAGAGCAGTCAGTGCTCTAAACTTCTGAGCCATCTCTCCAGCTCTCCCTTGGTTTTTTGAAGCCAACCACCAGTTTATACTTTCGCACCCGTTACAAGATCTAGCACAGCCCACACACAGATTAAGTTCTGGACTCATGCAAATCAACTAGGTAATTAACAAGATGTAATGATTGTGAATATCCTCTGTCTTACAGCAGGCCTGGCCAGGTGGGGCCCAACAGATCCTGCTTCCTCCAGCCTGGCAGCAGCTGACTGGCGTGGCCACCCACACGTCAGTGCAGCATGCGGCTGTGATTCCTGAGACCATGGCAGGCACTCAGCAACTGGCCGACTGGAGGTAAACAGGAAAGCCTGGGTTGGGGAGTGTTTCTGGGATGGGAGTTATGTCTACCACTGACAGAGAACATCGTATGGGCTATGGCCTCAGTGTAAGGGGAGGAGGTTTAACAATATACCGGGGTACCAAAGATTTAACCTGATTAATTTATAGTTAGCCGTCATTTTCTACCCAAAACTCAGTTAAATCTTTTAAACACCAGTGCAACTCACCAGGCCTGGCTGGGTTTTTCTCAGAATTAAGTTCCTTTCAGAAAGCAAATACTTGTCACCAGTGAAGGAATACAGAAGAGAGTCCCCAAAGCCCTAAGCAATTCTCAAAAGTGTTCTCATGAAGTTTTGAGACATAGGTGCCTGTCTGTCTGAGCTCCCCAGAGAAAGCTTGACAGACGAGATGTATTAGGAAGGATAAGCTCCAACACGTTTGTTCAGTGTGCCTCTTCAGTTAACAGCGTGTCTCATGGATAAGAGTTCACCTTCTGCAGACCCCAGGGACTCCAACCACTGCCTGCCAGCACCCTGCATGTTTCCAAAGCTGCCCATGCAGCTCCCTGACTTCCTCGAGGACACTCTCCTCTGCTGTTCTCACGAGCACTCATCCCTCTTCCTCTGGCCCTCATCGCAACACCACCACAATGTCCTCCTTGACCAGTACAGAGCCATGTGACAGTCCTCAAATTGCCCCCAGCTCTGTGGCCCCTTTGGGCTGTTCCTCCTTCTGCAGAAATTACTCCCTGCTGCTACCCTCTGGTAGTCTGGATACCACCCTGAGGCTCTCCATAGTTTCTTTTCTGAGCATAGAGTTCTTGGGTTGCATGTGGTAGTATATATTTGAAATCTTCATATGGGCTAAGGCAAAGGGAAGGGTCACAAGTTTGAGGCCAGCCTGAGTTACATAGAGAAACTGTCTAAATAAGTAACTCACTCTTGGGAAAAGGCTGGCAGGTGGCTAAGTAAGTCCCCTGAATCACATCTACTGCAGCTTTCTCCTTCGCCATGTAAAACTACTTTCTGACTACTAACAGGAGGGGAATATTTGGGCCATCCCCATGGCTGCAATCTGCCCTCAATGGAAGCACTTTGAAACCAGGCAAAACTGGTTTCTATTCTGGCTCTGCAAGACCTGGGGCATGTTATTTGATTTTTATGGCCTCAGTTTTCTTTTCAATAAAGTGGGGTCATGATGCTTACCTCAGAGGACTGTGGGGTGGTGAGGAGGGGGGTAGAGGTGGTATCAACTAAAATGGAACACACAGCACTTGGCCTGTCTTTAATATGCAATGTAGCCGTGCCTGAACATTACAGAATGAATAAGCTTGGCGTCTTCCCTTCACCCATTCACAGCGGCTCTCACTCGGCAGGATTGCCTTTCTTCAAGCTCATTAGCACTAGCAGCCAAGTGGAAAGCTATTTGACCTACGGTTGGGTTCCCCTCCCCCTTATTCTTCTGAAAGATGCCACCACCACCACATCATCATATTTTCCTTTGTCCTTCAGCCGTTAGAGCTCAATCTCAGCAATAGTCATGCCTATTTTCTTACTCTGCCTTCTTCCACCTCTCTCCCATCTCTTAGCTGGTAATCTCCATATCTTCCCGGTCTCTGCATTTCACTGTGGGCCAAAGAGCATTCATAACCATGACCAGAAAACAAAAGAGGAGCCCCAGTGCTGCCCTTGTTTCCAAGAGAAAGGGTCTGTCTGTGGGGAAGTAAACAACAGGAAGAAGCCATCACAACCACTGCCAAAGGCCGTATATGTGTCTAAACACTATCGAAATCACTCTAAGATGCTCATCTTTCTTTTTCTCTTATTTACCCTTCAAGTTACAAAGATAGAATTTGATTTTTTTTTTAAAGTTTATATGAATTCTTTAGCTTTTAATTGTATTGTGTGTTAAATGGGCTTTTATGGACAGATCTTTGAATTAATCACCACTTAAATGTTTCTATTGGAAAACAAGGCTGTAAGCACCATCCAGCCTAGATGGTAAGACTTTAAAATGTAACTCATTTCCAGGATGCAGGCTGCCATCATATTTCTCTGCATGTATGTAGCTGTTATTAATTTTGATTTAATACAAACTCGATACATGTCTAGTCACCCTTCAGTTAATCTAATTGTTCATTCAGCAAGCGTGTAATTAACTGATCAGCTGCTGCATGCCTGAGCATTGTGTTAGCTACTGAGGGAATTCAAAAGGACATTGATGATTCCAACACCAGAAACATGTGGCTCCCCGTTAGCAGTGTGTTTTTCACATCAACTACAACTTCCTCATTAATAAAATGGTATTTCTAAGACATCCTACCTACCTCACAAAGCAGAATAAAAGAGCCCATTTCAGTTGCTATACAAATTCGAAAACAAAATGTGCATTCTAATGTTCAGCACAATCACCTGTCCAGGGACTTTAAAGGCCAGAGGAGCTCTTTTTCCTCTCTCTCTAGAACTTGACATTCTTTCCCCCTTGAAAGTCCAGGTTCTCATCAAGCAGCTTGATTTCTCCTACTTCCTCAGCACAGGACTCCCATTTTACAGTTCTGGGATGCCCACATGCAAACTCACCTGACAAGGCTGATCTCTTCAATTATCTCTCACTACGCTGTGAGGTGGCTAACAGTGGTCAGCCTTTATCTGGGAAGAAGCCTCATCTTATCAAAGAGCTCAGTTTCTATGAAAAAAAAAAAAAAAACCCAACCCACTAAGGGGCCTTCTGCTCCCTTTTCTCTTTCAGGAACACACATGCTCATGGAAGCCATTACAATCCCATCATGCAGCAGCCTACACTCTTGACTGGACATGTGACCCTTCCAGCAGCACAGCCCTTAAATGTGGGTGTAGCCCATGTGATGAGGCAGCAACCAACCAGCACCACCTCCTCCAGGAAGAGTAAGCAGCACCAGTCATCTGTGAGGTAGGTGCTGAGAGCCTTGGTAGCCAGAAACCCCAGAAGATTGAAATGCTAAGCCCTGCTTGGAGGTAGGGATTGCTGGAGCATTACCCCAGCCAGCATGGTGCAGAGCAGCACTTCCTGAAAGAGCTGGGGGAACATCTACAGTACATCCTCCAGGTTTGCTGAAAGCTCTCTCTGTGTTCTGTGCAAATGCAACCCTGCCTCTCACTTTTTCTAGTTCCTGTCCCTCTGGCACTCTGAGGTAGAAGCCTGAAGTCATGCTGTGCCTAATATCTTGAATGCTTCAGCCCTTTTTATCAAAGAAAAAGTGATAAAGTACAGTAAGGCAGATTTCATCTGAGACCACAGGGTTGTGTACAGAAATGCTGCAGTGGAGGAAAAAGTGGGCTCAGCTCTACACATAGCATGGGCAATGAGATTTTGCAGCCAAGGAGTAGTAGTGTCCAGGTTATGTGGGAAAAAAAACCAATAGGAGACAACAGAAACTGGAGGATTGTGGCTAAAGCATCCTACCAGGATTCTCTGACAGTGATTAGCCGTCATCCAAGGACAGTGGAGGATGAGGAATCTGATCAGATATAAAGAAGGTGAGGGCCTCTGGCTAAAATGAACTAGCAAGGCTCTTAGCTGAAACTAGACTTTATAAAGAAGTGCACAGGTGAGTCATGAGGAGGTTCAAAGTCTGACTAAAGCCAGCCACACAATCTGTCATCTTTTCTAGAAACGGTGGTTCTCTGAGTTTCCATTTGAATACAAATTACCAAGATATCTTTTTCAAAAACAGGAGAAAATGCACTTTCTTTGAAATTTGAGGTCAGAAATATAACTCATAACTCAAAAATAAGCTGTATAGCTAGCAAGTTAGATCTAGATCATGAAACTACAGAATTGCCCCCACATGAACACATTTGGCTGGTTGCTTAAATATAACTGTAATGACTTCCAAATGCTTAATGGTGGGCTGCTAATCTTTCCCATCCCCCTGAACTCTTAAGCCATCAAGATTGACACAAGGCTCCGTGTTCCATGTCACTTTGATGAAGGCAAACCTAGAGATAAATTAACAGTACCAGAGACTGGATATGAAGAAGGGAATTCCTGGGAACGTGGTAAAAAGAGTTCCATATCTGGGTTGTAGGTGAAGTTTCTGACTGTATTAGTAACTCCCCAAGCACTTCAGAAGGGAGACTTTTAGTGTATATAGTAGCAACTGTGGAGTTCAATAAAACTGACATTTTTGGTGGGGGGTGGGGGGTGTCAAGACAGGGATTTCTCCATGTAGTTTTGATGCCTGTCCTGGATCTTGCTCTGTAGACCAGGCTGGCCTCGAACTTGCAGAGATCCGCCTGCCTCTGCCTCCCAAGTGCTGGGACTAAAGGCGTGTGCCACCACTGCCCGGCTAAACCTGACATTTTTAAAAAGAGGTTCTAGGCTCCACTCTAAAAACAAATAAACAGGAGCAAAACCACAGCCTATAGCTGGTCAAACAGATTTAGACTGTGCAAATACAGAAATGCTCCCACAATGCCTGGTGATTTGATGCACATATTTGTTTATTTGGGATGGACTGAATAAGAGAAATCAGGTACATAAAAAACGTAGTTACTCTAATTTGCTTTTCTGTTTCTGTAATAAAAACACTCTGGACAAAAGCAACTTGGGAAGGAAAGAGTTTATTTCATCTTATAGGTTGTAGTCCATCATCCAGGAAAGCCAAGGCTGGAACTAAAAGCAGAGGCCATGAATGAACACTGCTGACTGGCTTGCTCCCAAACTCATACTTAACTACCTTTTCTTTACTGTGCAGGCCCACCTGCATAGGGCTGGTGCTACCCACAGTGAGCTGGGCCTTCTTAAATCAATTCGCAATCAAGAAAAGTTCCCCACAGGTCAATCTGATGGTCACAGTTTGTCTGAGGTTCCTCTTCCCCATGTGTCAAGTCTATCCATCATGCTGGTGAATTTTCTTTTCTTCTTCCTCACATAGCCAGGTGCCAGAAGCTAGATCTGCCTTCTTTCATTCTTATTCAGAAGTTAATTCAAAGGGCTGACTTCCCTCAAGTTGGCATCCTTCTTCATAATCCCTTGTTAGGGTATTTCTGATAACACAAGGAAGTTCTGCTTAGATCAATGGCAGCTCCCCAGAATGCTTTTTGTGTGGCAGCCCTGTGACAATATGCCTGTGTCATTGGAGGCAACAGAAACCACTGCTTTGATCTCTATGTACCATCAGGCTCAGCCTGGTGCCCTACTAGAATGCTGATCAGACTGAACTGAGCTTAGCATCCTTGTGACCACCCTGCTGAGTAGGTATAGTCAGGACCCTTGGCCACAACCACTTCAACAAATCCCCCCCCCCCCACTCCCACCACCACACAGCTGCTTCAGGTGAACACACTGCTTACGTAGGGCAAAACCAACACAGGCACAGTTCAAATCGTCTCTTCGATTCTTTGTGTTGTTATTGGTGTTTTTGAGACAGGGCCTCACTTTGAAGCTCTGGCCGGCCTAGAACTCACTATGTAGATGAGTCCTTGATTCAGATTTACAGAGATCCACCTGCCTCTGCCTCCTGAGTGCTGAAAGATCAGTCTCCAGCAAAACTGTGAGAAACCACACAGATGACTGTCCCTGTGTAGTAATGCAGCAGACATGCTCTCTCCTGTAGACATGCTGTAAGTGCTGAAACTATAAAGCTATAACATGCAAAAATGATGGTCTAACCAGAGAGCATTACTCCCAGCTCCAGAGAGGACTTTACAGATGCAGCTGATGTCAGCTATGGACAAAATCAAGTTCGCCTTCACTAAACTATTTTCATTGTACTTCCGTCCCTTCACTTAAAGGACATAGCAGGGCCAAAGGTTTATTCTCTTTTGACTTTGGTCTTCACCACATAGGTCCTAACCAGGATCAACGGAGGGTTTGATAGGGAGAGAAGAAGGTAATTGTTCCCTAAAGTTACCAGGACTAATGTAGAATTTCAGGTTCACGGATACAAATTAAAAAGTCCCTTTTGGTGGGCTGGAGAGATGGCTCCCCAGTTGAGAGCACTGGCTGCTCTTCTAGAGGACTCAGGTTTGATTCCCAGAACCCCATGGTAGCTCATGACCATCTGTAACTCCAGTCCCAAGGGATCTGATACCCTCTTCTGAACTCCTAGGGCACCAGGCATACACATACATGCAGGAAAAACACTCATACACATGAAATAATAAATAAATCTAAAACTAGTAAATAATTTTAAAACAGTTAGAACTATGCTACAGTATTCAGATTTGGTTTATACATATTTTTTAAAGTCCCTTTTAAAGCGTGTCTTGCATTTGTCCCAATTTTTTTTAAAAAATTACAATTCATATTGATAAGCTTCCCATGAGGCTCAGGTCAAAATCCAAAAAGATTTTTTCTTTTGTTTTCCATTGTACACAAGTCTGAATGGCCATAAGTTTTCCCAGAAGAGAAAGCAGGGAAAGCTGAGCCGAGGGGCTGGGCGATCACTCCATCTTTAAATGCCTGCCACTCAAGCATCAAGACCTGAGCTCAGTCCCTAGACCCTGCACAAGAAGCTGAGCATGGCGGTGCACGCCTGTCAGTCAAGTGTTGCGGGCAGGGGTCAGAGACAGGCCGATCCCGGGAGCTTGGGCAACCAACTAAATCAGTGAGCTCTGGTCAAGGAGAGCCTTGTCTCAAAAAACAAGATGGACAGCTCCTGAGGAACATACACCTGGGCCTGACCTCTGGCATACACACATGCACACACCCACCACTGAGCTTCTAGAAACTCTCGCAGTGTTTAAGGGCTAGCTAGCAGTGTGGCTCCATAGTAGAGCATCTGTGAGAACCCGGATTCAGTCTCCAGCACAGGAGGTGGGCAGGGAAACAATTAAATAATCAACCAGCCATCAGCAAGGAAACCAAACAAACACCACTTTTTTCACCACTCCTAAAACAAGACTCAGGTACCATCGAGGGAGGACTAGATGAAGCCAAAAGCTAGAGTTTAATCCTGAAGATTATCCTGTGCAGCCATGTTGGATGAGATAGCTAAAATCCTCATCTGAGAAGACCACCTCTCAAGAACAGGTATATGGACCCAAACCAGAGCCCAGAGAAGGCCCAGCTGAGGTTCTATAGTAACTAACTAAAGGCCTCTAGAGGCACATTTTCTGTCACAGATGGAGGCCAACTGGTCTGGGCTTCAGACTTTTTTCTGTGGAAATTTGGTAAATGTGGCGTCTTCTGAAAGTTGGGCCCCTTGGATGGAGATATGGGGCCTGACTTTCCTCTGTAAGTTTGTGTTGTTTTGTCATTACAGAAATGTCTCCACCTGTGAGGTGACCTCTTCCCAGGCTACCAGCTCCCCTCAGCGATCTAAGCGTGTCAAGGAGAACACTCCCCCACGGTGTGCCATGGTGCACAGCAGCCCAGCCTGCAGCACCTCAGTCACCTGTGGGTGGGGTGATGTGGCCTCCAGCAGCACCAGGGAACGACAGCGGCAGACGATTGTCATCCCTGACACCCCCAGCCCCACGGTCAGTGTCATCACCATCAGCAGTGACACGGATGAGGAGGAGGAACAGAAACACGCCCCCACCAGGTGAGGCTGTGCTTGCAGACTCTGTGGAGAGAGCAGAGTGCATATGCATCGTGTCCTATACAGTCTTGTCTAGGGATCCTGGCCGTCCATGAAACGTGACGGTTATTCCCTGCCAATCCCTACATTTTCATTTTGCCATGTTCTTGGGTCCACAATTACTTCATGAGAATGATAAGTTTGCCATACTTGTTCAAAACCAAAATAATTTTGAGTGAGTTTGGCCTTAAAGAATCGCTACGGTCCCTAAACATTCGGGAACATGAGACTATAAAAATTGGACTCCCAATCCCAGTCTATTTTAACACTTATAAACTTAAACAAATGTTCCCTCAGGCTATTGAATGTATTCCCAGTTGGTCGGGATCTCTCTCGAACATGGCCTTGGCTCACTCAGAATTTGAAGTAATTGTCCAATTAATCAGAAATTTCCCTGTGTCTGATTAACCCAGTCCTTTAAACTGCCAGTTGGCTCCTCACCCAGAGAGCATTGCTGTTTATTCCAAAGTAGCAGGAACTCATTTTACTCCGCGTGTGCTTCCTAGGTGGAGGGATGAAGTATTTATTGTATTTGCAAGACTGTGAACCCTGGCACCAGAGCTTCTTTTCTGCACTTAGCAGCCAGACTCTGGCAGCAGGTGCCTTCTTGGGCTCAGCTCAGGTGGCCCAGAGAGATGTCCACTAACTTCTATGTCCACGGTCTCACAACCACACCCTCCTGTTACCTTTACATTGGGAACGAGGCCAGGGAAGGGGGCCTGCCACTACAAGCCAGAGCTTCCAATCATCGTTGTACTTCCCATGACTGGGTACAAAGTTCCGTGTTCACAGTTAAGCCCAAAGTGTTGATTCCTGATTGGATATAATGCTGCTAATTATTAATCACGATGGTTTTGATTAGATAATAAATTTTCGTGCTTGAAGTCATTACAGAATGTTCAGCTACACTGATAATAGCACTCTCATTGTAGCAGTTCCTACAGGATGCAACCCTTCCACCTGCCAGGTGAAGTTTAATGGTCTGAGTTTTCACCAGTAGGGCTAGCATGTGTCTCATTAATGTGTCCTTTTTCCTGTTGATTGGCTCGGTGTGGTCATCAGTGTAGTTTGACAATACCCTGTTGTGTTTCTGCTCCTGCCATTTGCTAGGTATCTGAGGGACATAGGGTTGGTGAGGCAGGCACATGTTTTGTACTCCAGTATCACTTTACACTCCATCTCCTTGTTCCAAGACCGGCCTCACTTTCCTTCGTGATTATAGCCCCAAGTTGAGTCACTGTTCCATCATTCCAAACCTGAGAATCCCGAGGGCTCGGCCTCCTTCCAGAGAGGAAGGTTCTTCCTACCCAAGACTGGCCCCTGGTTCGGGGAAGCCTGTGCATGTGTAGTGCTGCCTAAAGAGAAGCTGAGCAGCCTGGAGCACAGCTGGAGAAATGCAAAAGCAATTTAAAGACCTAGCTGTCAACTAGATTGCAGTGTCATTTTTGAAGGCTGAGATCTGAATTGATACCAGCTCTGAACATGTGCCCAGGAGAGACTTGACTAGAGGGTGAGAGGACAGGAGGACCAGTGGTATCTCTCCTAAGTCAGAGCCAATAGGGCTGAAAGCAGAAGGCAAGTGGAACATAGGACTGTTTCCTTAGGAGGAAACATAACGGAAGTGTGTGGCAGCTTGTGAGAACTTCCATGAAAATGACTCAGAGGTGGACAGCAGCCTATGGGCAGGTGACATTAGGAGAAACAACCACAAACTGAACCCAGTGGCTTTATACAGTTGAAATACAGGGAACTGCCAGCCTTCACCAGGATAGGGAAAGCGTGTTAGAGATGCTCTGCTGAGTGTCTACAGACTGAAGCCGCAGAGCCATGGTAAAGGGCCTCAGCTACCCACTGTGGTGACGGGGAGCTTGCAGAGGAAGATGCAGGAATGATATTTTCTGCAGAGATAAATGACCGTTGCCTTAGAAAATGGTCCAGTACCCAAAAGGATAGGAAAGACTACCTGAAGAAGCAGCAGCCAGTAGCACCTACTCATAGAGAAACCACTGTGTAATTGGATCATGTAATTGTGACTATATTTAACAGTGAGAAAGTAAATGAACTTAGCGTACCTGTTCCTGAAATCATAATTATCATAAAATTCAACACAATGAATATTTACCAGCCCCATCATTGTAAGATATTATGTCTGGAACTCCAAGTGTCATACAAATAAGAGAGACAGTCTCTCTTCCTGAGGCTTGCAGGTAATAAGCAAGATAAGACACGTACAAATCATTCTGACACAAAGCAGAGCATCTCCAGAGAAACCAGCCAAGCACTCGGGAGAGTTGAGGGAAGAGAGTTGTAGATTTAAGTGAGGTGACTGGGGCAGAGCCTCAAAGGTGAGCAGACAGGAAGCATCACAGTAGCAAAGCTTATCCAAGAGAATGCAGAATGTTGGAGAAAAAGGATTTGTCCATGAGAAATGGTTTTTTGAGGCATTTTTCCCTTAGATGGAGATGAAGGATTTGTCCGAAGGCTCTAAGTAGCTCAAGGAAAAGCATCCATTCTAGAAAACCAAGAGTTTACTAGGTGCACCTAAACAAGAAGGCACTTGGCTGTGGGCTGCAGGGCTGTACAGCATCCCTGTCCTCCCATTCCAGTCTGAGTATTTATTGAAGACGTTCCATCCCTGTGTGACTTCTCTGTTGTGATAAGACACCATAGTCAAGGCGCCTTAGAGAAGAAAGGTTTGTCTGGGCCCTATGGTTCTAGAGGGCTGGAATCCAGATGGCGGCAGCGCTAAAGTAGCAGCAGGAGCAGTCGAGAATTCACATCCTCAACCACAAGCAGGAGGCAGCGAGCACTAACTCGAAACCGTACAGGTCTTCTGAAACCTCATCTTCCCCAAACAGCCACAAACTGGGGACCAGCTATTCATATGCCCAAGATTTATGGGGGACATCTCATTGAAGCCCCCACAGTCCCTAATTCTGGTTATCCTTGTCACCAGACTACAGTTCTCCTTTCCCCGACTTCATTCCCTACTTGCTGCATACCCCAAATCTAGCCTTTAGAGTTCCCAGTGTGGTCCTGAAATGCTGGTCGTTTCCCTAGCGTGGCTCAGCCTCAGCACAATAGCTGGAGCCAGGTGTCGAAGACACTCACAGGGAAGACAGCCTCACTACAGAGTGCCTTTAGCATCCACATAATGATAAACCCCGTTTAGACCGTACTGACAATGTCAGTCTCTAAGACTAGATGGCATTGCCTAGGATTGTTAAAGAACATCAAGGAAGGATCATTATTCTTGACCACAAATATGGGCACTGTTAGTTGCCAATGCAATGGCCAGTCTCCCACCAGTCAGGAGAATTCCACAGCATGTAGAGGCACATGGGGCAGAGTGAATGAACTGAGGGGATCATAGAGGTGCATACACGCTTTACTCACAGGCTTGGTCACTTGGATTCCATTCAGTAACTGAGGAAAGTAAGGCCCAAGGAAGCCAAAGGACTCAGATCAATGAAGGTTCAAGTAGAAGAATGGGAATTCATTCAGGAAGTGCTATGCCATTGAAGAGATATTATTATTAATTCCTGACAAAAGAACTGATTTCTTTTTAGCCACTAGTTTAGCAGTTACTGATTTTGTCCTGCCTTCTCCTGTGCCCACTCCCATGATAGCATCCAGTGTGAGCAGGAAGCTACGACAGGCCATGTGACGTTGAAAGCACAGGTGCTAGGTCGGTACTCATTAGCGTGCTGAGGCTGCCTCAGGAAATGGGCAGAGGTTTGCGTCTTCTCATTGCAGAACATTTTAATAAATGGGCAGACCACTGAAAAGCCAGTGGGCTCTATTTTTCAATGGTTCATTAATAGCCTAGGGGATTTTTTAAATCGTAGCTAGAGATTTGACATAAAGACAGAAAACCTAAACAAATACCTTTTTTCCTGCGTTTCCCAGGATTAAGTAGAACTGGTCTTATTTTAAGTGTTTTTGACGAGGAAAGCATTTGATTGTATGTCTTTTACCTGGAATCTTCTTGAACAGTGTTTACGAGGACATGTCTGTTTATCCAAATCCTCATGCCTAACTCACCTTATGCGGAAACAGTCTTACAGAAGCCATGACATACAAACTTCTGATAAGGAAAACATTTTAAGTGTGTGATAAAAGTCATTCATTTCAGCTGATCAGCAAGAATTTTTTGTCCAGGCTTCATTATTCCCATGTCCATTCACTGAGTCACTGAGTCCAGTAGGAGAGTCAGGTCACAGAGCACATCTGTATTCCACACTTCACAATACACAAGCAGCTACGTGAGGACTGTTGAGCCAGTGTTTCAAACAATGTCTGCTCTAAGTACCACATGATGTTTTAGATATAAAAGCAATTTCTCTAGTTACTCTTAAAGTGTTTATATTTTTTTAAAAAATTAGGGGGCTAGACTGTAGTTCTGTTGCTTATCCATAATGCATAAGGCTCTGAGTTCAATACCCACCCCTACACAAGAGTTGACCCAAGATATTTTGCTTCTTTATACTAAATTGAAAAGGTGGTAAAATTATTCCAGATATGTCCCAGTCAGTAATTTACAAACTATTATTACTCAAATGACTTCTGCCTGAAAAAGGAACAACATATACACTCATTTATTATTGCCTGAGCAAAAGAGCCAAGCCCGACTGGGATTTCTTTGCACTGACGCCTACGACAGTGTGGACTCACCACCCTCCTGCACTGGTTAAAAAGCCCCATCCAAGCAGCATCAGAATGCACTCCTGGGCCAATGACTGCCAACTGGAGGGAGGGACAAAGAAACCAGACTCACAAGTGTCGGGGAAAGGAACTTGTTTTCAAGCTACAACATACCCCGAAGTTGAAAACAATTTCAGTCTTGTGGGACTCATGCCCAGCAATGGAAGATCACACACTCTGGACATTCTCACTGCGTCTTCATCAACAGGACCCTATTCAGAATGGGTGAGTGGGTGGATGACAGAGGCAGCACTCTGCCA